TGAAAAGACAACCAAACCCACCGTGGTGTTCATAGCTTGCGAATTAGCTAGGTATAAAGCGAGGGCCTCCCTAATGCTATAAGTTCAGAAGTGAAGCTAGAGGCAATCAAACCTGTATTAGTTTTGTGCATATATATATTACCATCCGGAAGGAGGAAGAGAATGCTAGCGTCCCCTCCATTTAGAAATTTATCTGAAGAACGTTAACGATTTTATGAGTTTAAATAAAAGCTCATTTTAAGAAAAAAAAACTTTTTTAACTTTATTTTATTTTCGCCTTTCTCAATGACGCATTATCAATCAAATTATTCAATTTAAAAATCATTTTCCAACTGTGAGTAATCACTGTTATACTTTCAACAATTCTGTTACGTCAAGTAGTCGAAAGAAATCCTGCTATTTTGCTAAGAATTACGCTTAAATCTCATATAAAAATGATTTAAAATCTATTTCCTGCTGTATCCGATGATGCAAATAATAAAACTCTGAGACTTTTTAGTTCGTTCATCAAACGATGAATCCTTTCAACATTAAATTTTAAAATATCTGAACTAGGTTTTGAGAAAATCTCTGCACCATATTGCATTATCATCCACAATAAATTTGTGTGCGAAATGTAAGCTTGATAGCTTATCACGAAGTAGTTTGAAACGGAGATAAAAGTCTTGACCATTGTGATAAATATTTAATATCAGTGAGTTAGATAAAAATCTATAGTTTTAAAACATTCTAGAAAATCGTTAATTAATACTTTTTAGCATTCCTGTTTTAAGAGAGAGTGAAGATTTTCTGTCACAGTCTTTGAAAATTTCAAATCTTAATACCAGATACATTTTTGGGCATTACAATTTTAAAGTCCCGTGAAAGAATATACTAATATTACGCACTACAACAAATTTAAGAAACTCACTAAAAATTAAATGCCGAAAAAACATATATGCAGTTATGGTATAAAATAAAATAAAAATGAACAGGCAGATTATTTGATTTTGACACACTAACATCACAACTTTAAAAGTATCTTTAAAAGTATGTTTCCCAGCAAAGCTGAAGGAAGACGCTACTTCTGTTTCACATTGTAGAATATTCTTTTAAAAAAATGTGAAATATCACCCAATTAATATTTTTTCTCATTCTTGTTTTAAAAGAGGGCGAAGAGTTTGTTTTATACTATGGGAAAAAATTTTAATTTTGTAACACATAAATTTTTTAATGTTGAAATTTTAGAATTATAAACTTCAAATAGTGTAAAAAGTAAAACAATTTTTGAAAATTCACCAAGAAAGCAGAAATTATGTTAAAAGTTTTATACAGATATCATTTAGAGGATTTTTGTCTGGTCTATCCAGTGGTATAAACACTAATTTTTTGAGATTTTTGGTTTGTTCATTAAAAGAAGACACGGGTGAAAAATCGTTTAAACATTTTATTTAAAAAATTCTAATTTAAATTTTGAGAACAATAGATTTCCACCACATTGCATTTCCATCGACAAACATTGTATGTACAAAATTTAAACTCGATAGCTTATGAAGAAGTAATTCAAAAATGGATGACAAACTTCCGACCATAGCGGCAAACATCATAGGTGAACTAAATAAAAGCTTAAATAAAAATAGCTGCGTTAATTAATATGCCATATAACTATGTAACATAAAAATAAAGGAATGTTTGGATATTTTAACCTTTTGATAACACATAATTGCTAATGTAAGTTTAATTTATGAATCTTTAGTCTCATTATACAAAATAAAAAAATAATATAACTGATTATTACTAAATTTGCATTAATAAATAAAAATTTATAAATACGTATTAAAAGAAGAGTGCCATACGTTTTTAGGTTCATATTAAACTTTTTGTTTTGTAAGCAGTCTTCCCCCCCCCTTCAACCATATAATTTGTTTTTTGGACATATTTCACATTAGTTTTCTATTGTTAATAGGTTTACTTAAAAAATAAAAGTTCTTGTTTTATAAAAATCTAAACCACCATTATATATTTAGTTTAAATCCTTTATTTTGAACACTGATTCATATAGTGTTATTTATAATATTTCCTTGTTTTCAGTAAAGAAGGAAACATAGTCCATAAAACAAACATTGCCCTATAAAAATTGCACTCACAAATCAACATTATCATATTAAAGTACTAATTAATTTAGAAATATTCACAAAACTAACAAATTTGATGCTTTTTCATAACTACTCTGGAAGTGCAATATTAAAATTAGGCTGTGGTATATAAAATATAAATTACATATTATTACTTTTTGTACCGAAATGTTTGATTTGTCAAAGCAAACAATGTTCGGGTATACTATAAAATAAAGATGAAAATTATGAAAAAGAGTATCTTCATATAATTTCTAAGAAAGATATATAATTTTAATTCCATTTGCATTTCATACATTATTTTTGAAATGATTTAAAGCATTACATTTGAAATTTTGGAAATTAAATTAACTTCAGCTGCGTACGTGTATAGTTATAATGCTTATTTACTGCAACATCAGTTCGTCTATGTACACTGCGCAAAAATAAATAAATAAATAGTCTGAAAGGTTTCAGATTTTAAATTACGTCCTAGGGGGCATTTTTTAACGTTTTGTGTGCTACCTTTATTTATTAAATATCATATTCTTTGAACTTAACACCATAAAATTCATTTCAAAAGTCGCAAAATAATTTTAAAATGAGCATATCTTTAGAATTTGCGATACACACAGTTCCGCGAGCTGGAGATAAAAAAGTTTTTTGTTTTGTTTTGTTTTGTTTTCCGTAGAGTATTGCCATTGCTCGCTTTTAAACCGTTGAGTTTGTTAATAAAAAATTCGTTAAAGTTTTATAAAATATGAAATTGATAATAAAACAAATTCCAAATTTCAAATTTAGGCTTTCAGATCCCCATATTTGCAGTAGGATTATATCATTCAAAATTGGATGGCTCTAGGTACCGTTGTTCCCAGAAACATACATACATTTATGCAGATTCTTCATTATTTATTCTTCAAATATAATACAGGGCGGTAGTATTTGGTGACAACGATTTGAAAGTGATACAGCCTTTTATAGTTTTCAACGCAAAATCGCAAAACGAAAACAATAGTCCTTCAAAGACAAACTTCCTTTGGACTAAAAAAAAAAATTAAAGTTTCAGATTTTAAATTATGTCCTTTCTTTAACGTTTTTTGTGTTACCCTTATTTATTAAAGATCATGTTCTTCGCACTTAAACTATAAAATTCACTTCAACAGCAATATAGCAAAATAATTTTAAAATGAGCATATCTTTAGAATTTCCGATACATGGTTTCGCGCACTGGAGATAAAAAAGTTCCCGCACCCCCCTTAGAGTGTTGCCATGATTCGCTTTTAAATCGTTGTTAATCAAAATTCGTTAAAGTTTTACAAAATATGAAATAGATATTAAAACAAATTCCAAATTTGGGTTTCCAGATGCCCATATTCGGGTGGAAACTTACATCATTCAAAATTGCTTTATCCCAATCATTTTGTTTTATCCCAATGCGAGAAACATACATACATTTATGCAGATTCTTCATTATTTAATTTCTTTAAATATAATACAGGATGAAAATATTTGGTGGCAATAATTTGTAAAGTGAATCGGACATTTATAGTGAACCAACGCAAAACTCCAAAACGAAAATAATAGTCCATCAGGGCAAATTGCCCCTTTGCAATAAAAAAATTGGACAGTTCTATATCTCCCGTTCTACTGGGCCGATTGACGAAATTCGTATTGCGTTTTTCATGTCTCTAAAGCGCGAGTTAGGATATATATCGGATTTATATACAGCATTGTTCTGATATAGGTATTTTGACACAAAATCGGGCTTCTTCTGAAATGACATGCCAGTTTTTTCCATATTTCAAGTTTACACTCAAATTATGCCTAAATATTAAATTTTGTAAAATTTGGTGCGAAATTTACCGAGATATTCAAATATTTATCTTGACGAATTTTTTCAGTTCGCGGCAAGAATAATTCACTTTTCCAACTTAATTTTAGCAACCTATTTTCCTTTCCCCCCTTTTTTTTTCATTGTACACGAGCGGAAGAAAAGTCATCATTCATTAATTTCAAATAATTTTAACGAAGTGCGTAAACCACATTTGGCGTTATTATCGCGTATAATAAAAACGCCAAATTTCAAAACGCGCAAATATGTAAATCACGTATGTACTAGGAAATTTTGTATCTAATTTTTTGCAAGTATGCTTAGACTTGCAAAAAATTAGATTATTAGATTAGTAAATACATCTATCTACTTTAAGATGAGGGTAAAAATTTTATAGGCTATAAATCAAAATTTTTTTCGAAAAATTTATAAAACTTATTTAAAAATACAAATTTTTTAAATAAATCATAAAAAAATGGGCGAATTTTATTTGGAATGCACCTAAATTGCGAATTCTGGAAGAAGGAATCAAGTAAGTTTAATAAAAAAGAAATATTAATAAATACATATCAAATTCAATTAACACTGAGCAGCTATAACTTTTAGTGCTAATTTTTTAAAAACTACTCGTGCGATTTTTACAAAACTTGGCAGCTTGGCGTAATTTGAGTCTTAGAACTGAAATATGGGAAAATATTAGCATATTATTTCAGAAAACGTTCGATTTTGTATCAAAGTACCTATATTAGAGCAATGCTGTATATAAATCTAATACATATCCTAAGTCGCGCTTTCGAGACATGAAAAACACAGTTTGAATTTCGTCAATTGGCCCAGTAGAAATGGGAGATATAGAATTATCCTTTTTTTCGGCAGTGTACTAAAATTGCGGACTTAATTTTTTACCAGAATGCTTAATTTAAATTATCACAAATTCTACCCAAATTGTCTCAACAGGAAGTGTAACTGGGCAAAATAAATTTGAAACTTTGAGCTTTAAATCTATGACGTAATTGATTTTAGAACTTAAACTGTTAATATTCTTCATAAATTATTTATTTAAAATATTCTCTTACGTGGAAATACTCAGGATCTTTCTTGAGAACTTCATTTACGTGACTCAAAGCAGTTTCGGGCTGTAACATTCGAAAAAAACAGCGACATTTTTCTGTTAACCATTCCTTATTTTCTGGATCTGTAGCTAAAGCCTGGAAAATAATTCAATTATTATTACAATTATTTAAAACAATTGCCCTATAACATACGAAATTATTTCCTATGTGCATTGTCTTCCAAAAACAGTTAGACACGTAATGACATTAAATTCAACAAATGCAAAAAGATGAGCATTTCTGTCTCCAAATTTTACAAGAACTGGTAATTGATTCATATTATTGATAATAAAATCAAAGAAAATGTATTTAAATGCATTTTAACCATAAAGTGTTAAAATGAATTTCATGCTTTTTCTTTTACTTCAAATGACATTAAATTATTCAAACGGAATTTTGTATTTTGTACAATAAAGATAAAAAAAGTCTTAACATAAGAGTAATCTTTCTTTTTCTTCCGCTGTGTATGTCAATTTCCTAACTTAACTACAAGTCACGTTCATTTACATCTTTTTAATTGAAGGATCCAGCTTAACAAAATGCAATAACTACTAGTCCTGTAGAATGGAAGTTTTGCCCTCTTCTAGAGTTATTGGACACAGGTTGTTCGGCGAAGCAGCTCGATCAATAGTCTCCTGAAGATTTTCGGTGGGATCGAAAATAATACAATAACCACTTCATGCACGCAATACCTTTCCTCTCAAGGTATACGTCCATTAGCCTTGTTCTGTGCACATTTACTTCCTGTAAGTATTACCATTCTTCAAACGAAATTATGGTCCATTTTGCAGCAGCAGTTCTTAATTTAGGGACTTGATTTCGATATATTTCTGCCGTTTTAATGCTCTCTGTGAATGCTCACATGTGGTGATACATTTCATGGAATATAGAAAAATAATGACTTAATTAAATGGTGCGCGGTTATAAAGCTTAGGAGTTTTAATTCCTAAAATTTAAAAAATGATCAGCTGTAATAAAAAAATCGCAGAGAATATTGGTATTTAAAATCCAATCAAATTAAACAAATAAAATAAGAGTTATAAAAGATAGTTTAAATTTAAATATTCTTCAATATTATTTCAGTCCTTCATTCTAAAATTTATGTAAAAAATTTATTTTTATATCTGTAAATATAGCATAAATTTTAAAGTAAATGTTATTAGCAATAAAACATCGTAACCCAATATTACCGTGTGTCGACTTTGCTCTCGATTACGTCCTGTAGAATATACGTTACCCAATTCGTTTTCTGCTACTAATTTACTTCATTTTTGCAAATAAACTCTCTTTACTATATTTTCCAAAAAATGCTGTTAATAACAAATTGATCTTAAATTTTACACGAAAAACACTTTCCAAACTTTATAACAATTGGTATTTGTGTCTGATATTAACAGAGATATAAAACTGGAAGATATCGATATGATATTAAATTAAGTTTTTTAGATTAAGGCAATCACATAAAGGTTGTCTATCTAAATATTAATTTCAGCAAGGCTGGCTTGGTCGTTCAGCACCATTGAACGACCAAGCAAAAATTTCGATTTACCTCAAAACATAAGCCCTGGTGTATTGTCTATCATAATTCTTAAAGAAAGACAGCGTAAGAAAAACTTAATACAACTGGAAGTGTCAAATCTTTAAGGATCTTAAGGATTTTTTCCTTAAGATCCTTAAATCTTAAGGACTTAAGGATTTAAATCTTTAATCTCTTAAGGATTTTTTCCAGGACAAAATTTCACAAATTCCTGGTTTAAAGAATGGTATCATTCCTTTAATAATCAAGCATTTATCATCTTTGTTCCTTTAAAAGCCTCAATCACTCACTCTATGAGCAGTTCCTTTTTTTGTTTAATTTTCGAGTTGCTAAACCACATAACATTTCACTAGAAGTAGAACAAATAACTCTGTAAAGCCAAGAACACGAAATGTTTAGTGGATTGAGAAACAAGCTTATGTGATTTGGTAAAACGTAGTATTTTGTTCTACATGTATTATTCAGTTTTGCTGTGTGCGCAAAGGCAAAAATATTAATTCTGATTTTCCTAAACAGAAATGTTTGAAAACAGCATTTATAACGAAAATGGTTCAAGTAATAAACATAATTTCTCACTTTTTAAAACAATCTGGATGTTTAAAAATCTCATTTTTAAATTACGCATTCAAAGAAAAATTCAGAAAGATTTAGAGATGCAAGAATTGACAATAATATAGATTTTTTGTAGTTAAGTTTCTTTAAGGTAAGGAATAAGACTTGTTTATGAAATTAGAAAATAAACCAGATACCCTGTTAATGAAATTTAAAGCTTCTTTAAACCTATGTTGCTTCATCAAAAATCGAGCTTGCTGGAAAAGAATGGAAGCACTACGAGCTTCAGGTGTCTTTCGAAAAACTTCGACAGCTTTTTTGTGTTCCAGAGCTTCTTTTATGTCTTTCGCTCCAATAACTACCATTGCGGCTCTCGCTTTATCGGTAAACATTTCTTCCTGTCGTTTTCTCTTTCTGTCTTCATCAGTCTCTTGGTCAGACGAGTCGGCACTTTTCGCATTCTCTACTTGATATTCCTCTTCAAAAAGACTATGTCTGCGACTTTCATCACTTATTACACTCAGCTGCACACTTCCGCGTTTGTCAATTAGTGAGCCGTTAACTTTTAACATAGAAATTTCATTCCAATCTTGAGACGAATCAATGTTCAGTTTTTTAAAATCTTCAGTTGCTTCCTCAATGGTAGGAGGCTGAATTTTAAGCATTTTACATGGAATCGAGTTAACCGTAAACTTTTCCCAAAAGAACAGCTGCTTTTCAAAAGAAGTCTATATTATTAAAAATAATGCGAAGTGGAACAGAGAAAAAATTTCAGAAACTAAGTCCTGTCCGATCGATATACACAGCTCAGGAATGGAGTCAACTCAAATGACAACTGATCCGAAATAAGAACTTGAGTTGTTACAGAATTAGTTTCTTCTTTGTTACCATGGTTATCAGCAGTGTAATCATTTATTTTATTCATTATAAGATATTCTTGCTTTTGTAACTCCCGATTAAAAAGTATGTTTTCTGTTTTTGTCTTCCTCCATTGTTTAGAAAAGTACAAGTTGTAAATTTTGAAGTAAAACTTAACATCACATCCGATGTTAAAATTGATAAAATAATAATTTTTCAACCATACAATATGTAATTCAGTATCTCATTAAAATTCTTTAAACTTTAGAATGAACAATACATATACAAAAACTTCTCTCAAATTTAATTTTATAAAAATGTGTTTCATATTAGAATGAGTTATTTTAATTATTTTTAATTAAAAATACACATCCGAGTATGAACGTAAACGGTATTCATATTTATTAAGTTAAGATTGAATGTTTTGCTTCATATTCTTGCTCTGAAAAATGTAAGTAATTTTATTAAACTGTGATTTATCTGGAGATGAATTTCGCAAAAGAGCTAAAACGCCAAAAAAACTAATTATATAACACAGAATGTAATAAAAACTCACTGTTTGCCACAGAGATGATTTAATGATTCTGAAGATATATAACTTATTTCATAATTTCATTATAGATGATATTATGAAGTTCCATAAACATTGCGCTTTTGCCTTCCTTGATTGGTTAGGATAACTCATACAGGAGCTCTTTGCAGTGATAGGATGCCTTCGTGAAAGAGCTTCTAAGAGACATAGGCGCACATATACGGTGCAGAAGCGGAAAACCTCATGCGACATGTGACATGCGACGGAGGACGTGGGCACCACCCCTCTACCAATACGGTTAATCTGTATAGCGCCACGTCTACCTTTATCTAGATAACCATACGTGTTCATTGTGCTAATATACTAATATATAAACATACATACAAATTTGGTACTTCATACAGTGGCGTAAAGCTAATTAATGTTAGACACTGGATAATACATTGCCATGTTACAAGGTGTATTCAAAAGCATGGATATGGTAGCATATATATATAAAACGTGTGTACTCATTAATAGAGTACACACGTTATCCATAGACATATGATCCTTTGAAGCATTATCATTAGATTACAGAAGACATATACATACTGAAATATTAGGTGCGCAATGTTATGCTGGAATAAGTAATTAGTACAGTGAATTAAAAGTTAGACCCTAGATTAGTCTGTGTGGTACAGTGTCTTGCTACTGAATTATTTGTTCTGTTCCTAAGTACATTAACCAATGTGCAAAGATATTAAAACACGTGTATTAGGTACACATTAATTAGTGGATACCCAAGCGTTAGGTAAATGCTACTTTAACATACATTAACAATAGGTAATATAATACAATGCTGAACAGATAATTAGTGCAATTAATTTTAGAGTGGGGCTCTAGTTAGTTCTTTGCGATACCGTGCCGTGTTACAGGATAAAATGTGCAGATGCATAGTTACATTATCATATATACAGAACATAAATTCATATACATATATACAGACATTTTGTGTACAGACACATTAGGTACATGATTATTCAGTGCGTAATAGATGTATATTAACTATACAGTGCCAAGATATGTGATAACACTAGTAGATACATGGGTACAATTACATAAACAAAGGACATACACAATTACATACAGACAAAAGCGTATATACGCTTATATTTGGTACATAATAGTCATTGGTGACATATACATTTGGTACTTACTTCATATACTTAAAATCTAGATCCATAAAATAATGTTATAACTAGTAATAGGTGCTTATTAATTTCATAATAGGACACTAGGTTGATATTTTGCCTTACTGTGTCAAGTTACGTAGAAATGTATGCAGGTGCATGGGTACAGCTTCCTATTTACAATGCTATACTGTTTTCCTATTTACAATGCTATACCTATTTACAATGCTTATATCGCGGAAAACCTCATGCGAGCAGGTCGTTCAGTCTCCTGAGAAAACAAGCAATGCTCTACGATTTTAGTGATTCTGACGAAGAACATGTCCAAACAAATGCGAAGATAAAGAGCACTGCTTTCCAAAAAAAAAAAAAAAGAAAAGAAAAGAAAAGAAAAGAAATCTTTTCGTATGAAAATTTCCAATGCACATGGGGAAAGTAAGAGCAGAGGTTGAGAAGAAGGAATCTTCTCGTATGCAAATTTCCTATTCGTATGGGGAAAATTAAAAGCATCGAACAAGTATTCATTAGTGGACATTGCAGAATTCGCGAATATTTAAGTTCATTCGGAAACAACATGTCAGAGGTATACGAACGAGAAATATGAAGATATGCATCTGATTTACTGCCGAGCAGGTGGCAATGGATGCCTAGCACAGAGGATGTACCGAGAAAAATCTCCGAGGAGGTGTTGTCCGCACCAATGCCACCTTCACGAACATTGATCGAGGGCTGCGGGAGTCGGGATCCTTCCAAATAACGAGCCGTAATGTAGAGCAAAAATGCAGTGTGCATACACCGGGAACAGAAAACGAAGTATTGTAAGGGTTTGCTGTTTCCCCGTTGATCAGTACACGATCGATTGCAGCTCAACTGAGTATTCGTCATAAAGTGGTGTGGAAGGTTCTGCTTGCAAAACACAATCACCCCTTCGAGGTGCAAAAAGTCCAACGCCTAGGCGATGCCTACCACTCCCTTCGGGTAAAGTTCGTACTTTGCATGCTGGATGCTACCCACAATCATTAATAGTTTCCTGCCACTGTTTTATTCTCAGATGAAGCTTGCTTTAAGAGAGAAGGCGTGGTCAGCATGCACAATTCGAACATGTGGTCTCCGAAAATATTCACAGCACTGTTTGGTCTAATGTACAAGACAATCTCGGTACTAACATCTGGGTAGGGATTCTCGGAGATATCTGTCGGGATCGTAGTTTCTGCCAAACTCCTCAATGGGGCGCAAATTATCTTGTTTTTCTATAGCATCTCCTCCCGAGTTTGATGCAGAAAATACCGCCCACTGTGCGCCAGAACATGCGGTTCATCAAGATATTTCAAGATATTTCATCTCATAAGCTGTTACAGAACCTTCATATTAGAATTATTTAATTTTTGTGTATATTTATCAAAATATTTCTTATAACTTTACTTAATGTATATTTTTAATGTATATATCCAAATTTCATAGTTATAAATTTTAATAAAGACAGTCCCACTGAGTGAGCAATAACGCTGAAAGTCTTCTTGGCGGCACAGCTGCTCACCCAGTGGTCTCCGGTATGATGGTGCACCAGCACATTTTGTGATTGCGGTGCTCAACCACTTCGATGTTACATATCCCGAAAAGTGAACGCGGCGGACCTGTTGTTTGGGCTTCACGCTCTCCAGACCTCAATCCCTTGGATTTCTTCTTCTGGATCAGACACCTGTGGACACAAGGGAGATCTGGCAGCACGGATCGTCGCCTCTTCAGCAGACATCGCGATATTTATGAACATATCCGACAATCCTTCGTCTTCAGTGTCGGCTGTGCAATGACCGAGGTGCAACTTCCAACAATTCCTATAAAACTGTCCAGTCTTCTCCTTTTTTACGTTGAAATGTGACGCATTGTAATCCTGCTTTACGTCAAATAAATGTTTTTCTACTTATTATTGGGCCATTTCTCTTCCATTTGAAGTCACACTCTTCATAATTATTTTTGTGATTTTCTCCCACCAAACGTAGTTCGAAACCCCATGTTCTATGGCAATTTTTCATCTTCTTGATGCCTACTATCAGCCCTCTGAATTTGTCGGTCGAATTCGGAAACAGCCTATGTAATTATATGCCACGCAATTATCTTATAATTATCATCATAAAATTATATGACATTGTAGGCATTCATATTGCCACACCAGGAAGAACAAAAGATATCAAAACCATATTTATTGGACAAATAATATAAAGGTTGAACGGAATTAAAGTTACTGCCCCTTTCTATTATCGGAATACAAAGAAGTCAGTATTTTCTGTAGCCGCTTTGGCTGACAATAAGATTATCTCAGTGTATCCTGTGTACACGCGTTCCAAATTTCATCTGGTATAGCCGTTAGCCATTCACTGTCAATCATCAACCAGTGGTATCCGATGAGCGAAATATCGGAACAACGGGCAGACGAAGACAGCTATGTGATTTAGTCAACAATAACGAATTTTAAACGTTGCATAACCATGCGGTCATGAATTGTCCTGTTGAAACCATAGAGGTAGGAAGTAATAGTATATTTCTAGCTCCAATGGTTGAAACTTGGTCGCAGGCAAACCTTGAAGGTAAGGAAGTACAACAGGTCCAAAATTTCTGAAATATATCTGAAGGACAATAGATCCAAAACTTCTGAGATGTAGCTGTGGCAGCTGAGTTTTCCAAAAACGTGTATAAGGCGGATGCGGGAGTAAAATCTAATGTCATTCCGAACCATAGAAAGGTATGCAGAGCGGTATGACGACGCATAATGCAAGGGTCATAACGCCTGCTATCCCACGCCGCCAGACTCGAATACGACTAGTCTAGCGATATACGCGTGTATAGTTTCAAGTTATTCTATATTGAGCCTCCTTTTTCTCTTAGGCTTTTTGATGCTCCTGCGCGATACGTTATTGCCATGCTACAACATGCCTGCCCTTTCCTTTAGTAGTACGATGAGCTTTGTGCAATCATTCTCGTTGGTCAGTCCATCCCTCAAGCAACCAACGATTCCCTGTTCGCCACACTGTGAACTGATTTCGTCCAACATGAGTACGGTAGTACTCGGAAGAATAATAAGCAATTTCGATAGATTACAGTTCTTCCTTTGACAAACTCAGAAGCCGCAATAATCGGTATAGTGAATAGCGACGCTGGCTACCGTACTAACGGCCTACCTCCGAATCCCAGAGAAGTAATGGGTGTTTATAAGTGTATTAGTGTCTGTGTGGCATGAAGGCACTTAAAATGTTAGCGAGAC